TCGATGTGCTCTTGCGGAACTTAAACATCTTGCTTGATAATAAAACTGATATCTATTCCTTCGTAATGTCAAACTTAACTCAGAATCAAAATAACTCTGCCTGCAAGACGCACTGTTCTCTTTTATGACCAGCGAACGACCACAACGCCAGAATGTGCCTTTAAACTTATACGCATCTTCAAGTTGATCACAAATGCAAAGATTTTATCCTTAATATCCTAAGCATTACAAACAGTTGCCAGATCTATTGTACCTCTCTCTCCTAAATGTAATTGTCTCTACCTTTCAAATGAAAACTGAAGTATTTTTTCATTGCAGTAATTTCAATAAGTAAAAGTTTTACGACCAAATTCAAGAGACTTTTAAAAGTATCTTTCAATTAGGAACTTGAGAAAAATTTTGAGAAATGATGCTTCTATTAACCTACTAAGAAAATACTTGAGATCCACACAAAAAAGTTTTCAAAGTGTAATGATAAGTTCAAAAGAGCGATAGATAGACAATGTGTGTCCACTACAAATCTCTTTTTGTAAATTTGCCCATCCATTGCGATAAATATTTCAAGAAAAAGAAGAAGACAAATGAATCATTGGTATGATATGGTACTCGTACACACTTAAATATAAATAATTTCAGAAAGAAAAAAGGAAAAAAAATTTGTTGTTTTTTTTTTTTTTATTTGAAATAATTTTTAAATTATTTTATTATATTCTCGTGTATCTATTAAAAAGGAACTAATATGTGTTTTATATCTTATGAATAATATTAATTTTATTGCTTACGCGTGTGTTGTTGTTATTGTATTTCGTAATTTTTGTATATATCTGAAGCCTTAAATATATGCTTTAAAGAAAATATAACAGAAAACCCATACATTAAATAAGGGAAAGTGCTCTCTAAGTAAATATATATTCATTTTTTTTTTTTCTTTTTTTTAATATTTTTTTGTATATATATATATATATATATAATTTTTCTGTCATCTTTTTTTTTTTTTTTCTTTTCTTTCTTTTTGCATTTAATTTTATTAAGATGATTTTTAAATATTATATATATAAATATTTATAATTAATATAAATAATAATTTTAATAATTTAGAATTTCATGTACAGTGTTTTGGTTGTTCTTGTTTTAATATTTAATAATATATTTAATATAGTTTCCGGTTGTAAATTACGATTTCTGTTTTGCTTTGTGTATTTTCTATTTTTTTTTTTTTCATATTTTCGATATCATTACTAGGATGAGTGAAAGTTAAGCTAAAGCTTATCTAAACGGTTTTCAATATTGAAGCCTTTTTGTCTGAATAACATACATACATATTGCTGTTGTTTCAGATGTTTTTGTTAAGTTGAATAACAATTGCGTTTGGAATTAAAATTTCTTTTTTTGTTTTCTTTTTTTTTTTTTTTTTTTTGTTTTCGATTTTCTAAGTTAAGTAAATAAACATAAACTTCGTTGCGTTTTTATTTTACTCATTAAGAGTATGTACATATTTGTGTGTTTGTGTGTGTTTAAGTGTGTGTGTGTGTGTGTGCGTGTGGCGTTTGTTTGTTCTTCTTTTTAAATTAATTTCTAAATGAGTTTTCCTATACTTCACTAAATGATCTCTCAGCTAATGTAATTTTTGCTTTTTGTTTTTCTTCTTCTTTTTTCTTTTCAATTTCAAACGTTTTTCTCTACATTTCTAGCAAATGGTTATTTAATTTTACTTTCTATTATCATTATTATGTAATTCTTTTATTAATTATTATTTAATGCGATAAATGGCTGTAGCATTTTTTTTATTTTTGTTTTTTTTTTTTTTTATTTCTTTTGTTTATCAATATTTTAGAATTTGTTTGTGTGTTGTTGCTGTTGTTTGTTGTTGTTGTTGTTGTTGTTCATGTTCATGTTGTTGTTTTTTTTTTTAAATTGTTGTTTTTGTTGTTATCTTCACTAAAACATTAATCATAGAAGGTGTATTAAGGAATAAGGAAGAAAAAATATTTATATATATATTTTTTGTAAACATTCAATTGAATTGAAATGAAAAAACCTCTCGAAAGCAGTTAATTACTAACTAAAACATCGCCTAAATGTATTTGTAAATATTATCAGGAAACTAGAATTTCGCTTGCCCCAAATGTTATAACTCCGCGAAATTATAGTTTGCATAATATTTGAAAGGGGGAAAAAAAATTAAAGAAATTTTATTGCATTGAAGTGGACTTTCGATATCCCCTCACAGCAAGCTGTAAACACTGAACTAGTACTATTTATATTTAAGTGATCTTAGCAGACAGACCAACTAGCTGAGCGATATCAGTGATATTCTTTATATATTAGGTGTGTAGCCACCACCGTTGGCTAAGGGTGTCCCATGTTTTTCATCAATAATCCTTTTAAATATACATTTCCGATCTAAGCAACATGTTCATCCTACCTTCTAGTAACATGTTGTTAGTTGCTAAACAATTCACGATGTCTGAAGGTTTTTTTTTTTTTTTTTTTTTTTTTTGATGTGATCGATTACCCAGGGTATGTCTCCAATTCGCGTGGCCAGGAAGAAAAGAAAAAAACGAAAATGGTGGTCATGGCCGCAGCCAGTGGGCCTACGCCTATACCGACTAAACACTCGTTGTAAGTACGACCAAAATAAACTCTAACGCCCAGGGGTTTGAATCCGTGGACTTTGACTTGCTGGTCACGATTCTTACCAACTCGGCTACTCAAGTCTCAAATAATACGTTTACTGCTTCTTCTTCTAAAGCTAACTATTAATAAACTAAAACCTTAAGGTTACCGTACTCTGATGACTAGTCGGCAAACACTCCTTAGCCGAGGCTGTGTTTAGTATACTAATGTCACTAATATATAATAATGACACTTGTACTCTTTATTTTCGCAAAACGGAGGACATACAAATTTTTGGAATTTTTTGGAAAATTTGATCTTCTTTAAAGACTAAAAACTTGAAAGACTATCTTAGGGTTTCTTTAATGGTTTACTTGTTCCTGAAGGACACTCGGTCAATTATACTAAAAGTGTCCATTACTTCCTGATGGTGGAAACATTTTTGTTGTTAGTTCAAGAATACATTTCAATTAACTGCCATGAATAACGAACGAACGTAATTTTCTATATATAAATCCTACAAAAAAAAAGAGAAAAAAAAAATTATATCAGAAAAGTTTCCCTTTAAGTGTTTTCGTTTTTAATTGTTTATTAAATAAATAATTTTTAAAGTAAATATTTCAGGTTTTTCGTATTTTGTTTTTCATTTATAATTTAAATATAAGAAAGAGTCAAAGTTTATTTAATTCTCCTTTTTTTTTAATTTGACTTTTTTTTTTTTTCTTTTCTTTTTATTATTTATTATATTAATATTTTTGTAAATTGTTAATAAATTTTAAAATTTTAGAATTTCGTCAATGTGATTATTACGTTACCGTACGGCATGGGTGTGGCCTTTATTCCCATTTCTTGCTTTTGTTTGTTTTTGTTTTCGGTTTTTTCTTTTTTTTCTTCTTCAAGTTTCTCAAATATTTTTCTTTTATTTTTCCATTTGGGAAGACTGTTAAAAAATTGTTGTTGATTACTTGTTTTTGAAAACAAAGCATTTAAGCAAAAAAAAAAAAAAAAAAACAATCAAACAATACGATAAGACATAATAATATTGCAATCGTTAATTAATAAATTTTAGACATAAGTGCTTATTTTTTAGGTCCCTCTTATCACAAAAAAAAAAAGAGAAAAAAAAATTATAATAAAAATATGAATTTTTCACTTTTTTCCGTTGAAAAGCATAAATAAAATCAATTATCGCAAAAAAATATATATATATATAAATAAATATTAAAATTTCTTCTAGAAATAAATTACTTAGCTTTTGACAGAATTTACGTTTTAACGGGGCCCCTTCATTGAGTTGAAAATACCGTAACATATATAAAATACTATCGACAACACTAACAAGGCATTGGAGCCCTTTAGATTTGTTGATGCATTGCAACCGTCCTCAGAGCAGCAATAGGTTTGAGTTTCCCAAATTTCTAAGGATTAAAAATATAATAAATTCTTTCAATATTTATTTAAAAATAAAGCCTTTTTGGCGTTTATATAGTGTTTTTTATTTTTATACAAATAAGTTATGGGTTTTTAAAAAATATTGAAACTAAACTTCATACTTCTGAACCATTCTTCTTTTTAAAATATCCAGAAATGAAAAGATTTTTTCTCATTTAAAATTAGAATGAAAACAGTTGTTAGCTGAACCAAGAACAAGTGGCAATAAAATCAAGAACATCTGCTTAACACGGTGGCGGTAGAAGATCTTAGGTTACCGCTTTTAAAATTTATGTCACATCAGTTGTGATCACATCATTGAGTTCGGGAAGCTTTCAATGCAATTTTTTCAATGCACCATTAGGCTCTGTTGAACCCACCCTCCGTTTTTCTCTCTCTCTCTCTCTCTCTCTCTCTCTCTCTCTCTCTCTCTCTCTTTCTCTCTCTCTCTATACTCTACCTCCCATAAACTAAACTGCCGTACACTTCAAGAAGATGTCTTATATCGCTAGTTAAATACACTGCTTTTTCATGGCGAAGGTAAAAGTTTTCCAAATACTTTTAAACAAAGTAATGTCCCTGTCGCAATACGACAATACTTTCCGTAGAACTGACCAGACAAAGCAGTACTACCGGCTTTTGTCCGATTTTTGCGCAAGCCTCCTATCATTCCAGGTTACCGAAAACTCTTTTGTATGCACTTCCGTGGGATATCTTATATATATATATATATATATTGGCATTTTCGAGTCGAGAAGTGAAAGTTTGACAGATGTTCGCAAGCAAAGTAACGCTAACTTGTCGAAAACCCAATGACGGCTTATGTTTATAATTAAGGGCGACAAGCAGTGCCTATAGGTAAAATATGCATAGATGCAACAATTTATTTATTTTAAGCCATCTGCTAGTGTCATCTTTTTTAGTAAAATGTTAAAAAAATAAATTCAAATTTTTAAAACTATATTTTTATTTTGGAAATGTTTTCATGCAGAAGTTGAGTTCTAAGCTTAGGATACGCTTAGTAAGTTAATAAAAGTTTAATAGAAATTACTACGTTACTAACCTTTCTCTACACATTCAGTGGCACAATCTCGTACGGTTGATAACTCGCTAACGTATTTCTAGAAAGAAAATTTGAAAAGAAAACAATTTTCCATTAAAAGTTTCTTTTGATTATCATTTAAATAGAATTCATTAGTTTTGCTTGACATTTATCAGTTTATAAAATTGATTCCAAATAAACTCCATAGAATATCCTTTATAACCGTAATTGCATAAATGTCATTGTGTTACGCGAAAGAACTTAATTTGTGAGTTGATGGTCGTAGCATTTAAACAAAATAGTAAATCAATAATAATTTCCAAGCCTTCTCTACATACATCATTTTTATTAAATATAATAATAGTTGTAGTAGTGTACCTTAGTAGTCACTTATTTTGTTGACACGCAATTTGTTTACATATATGTAAATGCGAGTGTTTAACTATTCAATCAATTTTACAGTACAAACAACATGAGTGTTGACGTAGTGCCAATGCTTGATATAACACTTGAAATAAATTATGTAAATAGTATTAAATGCAATTTATATAAATATTTGATTATCCTTCAATATATCTACTTAACAATGCAATATATATATATATATATATATATATATACTGTACATATGTTCACACAAACAGACAATATTTATTTATATTTATATGCGTTAGCTAGCAGTAGATGATAAGATAATATTTTCATTCTCTCATATACTTGTTTATCACTTTGCTATCATTATTCCCAGAACCTTAAAAAGACTGGAGTAAAGATATATAGCTAGATGTATACATGGGCGATTTAGGGATAAATGTGAACCAAGCACTTGCTGCGACCACGCTCTCACCCAATATTATAGAATACTAAAAATTTCATTCGATTTTTTATCTTCTTTGTTGTTATTGTTTCTATTTAAAAAAAAAAAGAAGATAATGTACAGTGTGACTCCACCACAACCGAATATAATTTTTCTGTTACATTTTCTCTTACACATGAACGAAGAATGAAATCGTATTGAAGCTCGCATAAAGTAGTATTTAGAAAGAAACTAAGGATACATTTAATTGCTTCCTTAAAGTTCAAAAAATAACTTGACGAGTGATGGGCAGACTAGGAGAGACGAAGTGCTTTAATAAAAATTTCAAAACATTTGCCAGAAAACTTATGCTTATATCACAATTTAGTGGAAAATTTGTTTCAATCGCACTACTGCCGCTTTCACAGCGAGCATAAATTTGGCTTTAAATAGCGGTTAGTAGCCATAATTCGACCTAAAATGAATAAAGTTTAATTGTTTGTTTTTTTTTTTTTTTATGCACAACCATTTGAACTTTGACTTATGCATTTGTGGTAACTTTTCTCCAATAATTTTTCTCTCTACGTACATACATACGTGTATACATATATGTCTGTATATAAATTGTTAATTAAATGAACATCAATTTTCATATGAATTTGTTAATTAAATAATAATACCATATATAAGTAAATACATTTTAATAAACTAACATTTGCATCATTATGTGCAGTTGCTTTGTAATGTAAATTAAATTGAATTAAAATATAATAACAGGTTATTTACAATAATAGATAATTTAAGGGAAAGCTATGCTTCTATAATAAAACGCTTACTCAAAACTGAAACAAACTGCAAATAAAGGCGTTATAACATTATTTGGACGTCCTTGGGGAAATCTTCTAAACTTATTGTTTAAACGATTAAATTATATGAAAATTTTACAAGATTTTTGCAGAAATTCCGAAGAACCGCAAAATTGCGATACTCAAGAAGTGACAGATGACATTGTATTGAGATTTTCAATTTTTTTCAAACGTCGTTCAGCTCGTAAAATACGTCTTAGAGTTATCTTCACCTATATATCGCCCACATATAGTAATGAGTGTGCACTGGAAAGGTTTTACCCATACCCCTACCCCTACCCTACTACTAATAAAGACAAACGAAGCTTCTGAAGACAAATATTATTTTGATTTTTTTACCCGGCATTATCTAATTTGAAAAAATTCCTCACTATAGAACACCTTGTCACCTGGCATACTAGGATGGCCTGGAAAGCCTATAACTTAATCCTGTCCAGTTTTTTAATTATATTTGTATCTATTGCGTGGCTCATATTTAGCCAATCGAGAAATCTTTTTAACTAAAGTAAACGTATAGAGAAAAAATTTTAAGCGGTAAGCGGTTTTAATTGATGCGTTAAAAGGAAGTTGGCGTAGAATCATAAATCTCTAGTCTTCAACACAAAATCACTTCCTATTTTGCATAATTTTGTAATCTGTGAAGAAATCCTCCAGCGTATATGTTGATTAAATTTGAGTAAATCATTTCTCTCGCTCTATCTCTCTCTATCTCTCTCTTTCTCTCTCTCTTTCTTTCTTTGTCTCTCTTAAGAATCTTTTCGCAATTTTATACAATTTTAATAGATTTCCGCTTTGACTTTTGGCCTTAGGGCCTCCAAAAGAAACTTGTAATCCCTTTACCGTTGTATGCGATTTGCATATCTTTATATCATTTTTCTTACGCTTTGTTGCTCGCTTGCTTATATAAATAGTATATGTACGTAACATAATGGCCTGAATCCATTTTAATCCCTATGTGATTTTTTCGTTTACTCTATCCACATACTTGTTCGTACTCTCATAGCAAACTCACATCTTCGCCTATACTTAATGCTGTCGTCATTTATCAAATTTAATTACTCTCGATAACATGGCGTATATAGCTATGGCTACATACGCTCGACACAATTTCCTAATGTGTAATGTTCTAGTAATAGCAATAGTTTTAGTTGTACTAGCAGTAGTAGTAGTAGTAGTAGTAGTAGTAATAGTAGTACTATTACAACTTATGTTTTCACTGCATGTTGTCATTGCGGTTATATGGTGGAGCAAGTGATTTTACGCTCGTCTTTTAAATCTTCCCCTAGTCTCTGATGTATGTGATGGTTGCTTTAAAACTAAAAGCATGCCAGTATGTTACGTATGTATGTATTTATATGTTTGTAGTGCATGTTTTTGTTAACAATTTGTTTAGTATTTCCGGATTTTATTTGCATTCTTACATAAAAAATCTACGCTTAACTATATAAGCCAAAGAACGGATTATTCTTTCCTTATAATTATACTTGTATAGTGTCTGTCTGTCTGTCTGTCTGTCTGTCTGTCTGTCTGGTCATATTGTAATTATATCGGAGTTGAAATGCAACTTTAATTGAAAATTCCTTTTTAGACATATGAAGAAAATTAATGAATTCTAATATCCTTATATTTTATTTACGCACCTTAACATAACAGCATTTTACGGCGTATAATTGCCATATAAAACAAAGCAAAAAATTTAAATTAAATTTTATACCTAAAGCACAATTCAATTTCCTTTGCAAATGAATTCAATGAGAAATAAATAAAACATAAGATGATGCTTAGATATAACTATATATATATATATATATATATATATATATATATATGTATGCATATCTTTGTTATGGATAGGCGTGTATATATGCCAGTTCGTATGTGTGTGTTTGTTGATATGGGATCCTCTCAAGTCAAGGTATTAAATACCGAAGCCATACAAATCCAACAATGACCAACAAAAATTCGACCACAATCCATTTGAATCCCATTTACTGTACTAACCAAACTACAAATAATATAATATACTTAACAAACAGAAAACACAAGCATAAACAGCTATTACCTTCAGTTTTTCATTCTTTCTCTCTCTCTCTCTCTCTCTCTATTTCTCTCTCTCTCTTTATTTCTCTCTCTCTTTAGAGGGCGTATAATCTACAATAAATATATTTGTATTTGCAGATATTTTCAATTTTCAATTCGCTTGGCTTAGCCTTGAAGTTGTTGAAAATTTCCTAAGCATACGAGGACAAGCCTGTCTATCTTAGTAAATAAAACAGGCAAGCAGGCGGGCAGGCAGACCTATAAATTATAAATCTTTTAACTTTACTATCAATAGATAGATAGTCGTACACGAAATATAAATAAATACGTATGTAGAAATATATACACACACAAACACACATACTATATATGAATATGTACACATAAAGACTACCACTATCACCTTCTCGATGATTTACACTTCATCCCTTCTTTGCTTGCTTGCTTGCTTGCTTCTTCTTCTTTTTTAACTTTTCTTTTACTTAACGAAGCCGATAATTTATAGAAAATTGAAATTTATCTCTATTGTCAGATATTGACAAAAGAAATGTGTTTGCTTTAGAAATTTCCCTTTCGAAGCAATAGCTTCATTTAAAAAACATTTAACTATACTTACAAATCAACTTGAGATTATTGCTTAGCTTAACTGTCGGTAACACATATCATCATATTGGTTTACCATTTTGAGGTCTAATATCATTACTGTTTTTGAAAAAGAAAAAACTTTAGCAAAATTCTGGCAAATTTATTTTTAAATTGAATTTTTCTGCACACAACGGAGAAGATTAGAAATTTCTCCTAAAAAAAAAAAAAAAAAAAAAAAAAATATTATTATTATTATCATTTATTATAATTTATTTAGACCAAAAATATAAAATACTAGAAGTAAAAAGTAAGACAAGCATTAGCAACTAACACATAAAAAATCATTGTAAGCTTAATTGACTATGTCAGACTAGATGCGTTCCTATATTGTTTAACAGGAGAACTACGCAAATGAGTCAACTTGATAGATAGAGATCCATACGACGAACGAAAGTCGACTTTCATTTTATTCGCCGGATTCGAATACATAAATGCAAGTATTCTTGGAAGAACTTTTTTAAACTTTAAAGCTTACCCACGGCATCGAGAATGTTATTGTTTACTGTCGAAAATTGTCTAAAAAAAAAAAAAAGAAAAAGTTTTCACATACCAACGACTCTTTTCATTTTTTAGTTCAAACAACCGCCTGCCACTAAAGGAATGTTAAACAGATGATCTCTACACCTTGACGAGAAATTTGAAAATGAATTTTTTATTCAATAAAACTTGCTTTCACAAAATTGTTTAACTTAATTAACGCAAATCGTTTAACTCATTTAACAATAGTTTGTA